ATTAAACCAATAGCTAAACTTGAAAGTGATGTGCCATATGAAAAAACTGTGTTTTGTTGATGGCAACTCTTTTGAAATTGCTTCTTTCATCCATGGATCTTGATTTGTTAATGTAGTCTTTGGGGACTTCTTCATCAAAGATATATAAGTCTATGAAAAATTATGTAATTAAAAAAATGATACAATAACAAATTATATAAGAAAAATTATGAAATTAAACTTAAAAGTTACCTTCATCAACCAACGAAATGCATAAGTAAGAGTGCACGTCCAAAAAGTATAGTCTTTCCATGACTATTCATACGCACGAAAATTTCAAATGACATTTCATAAGAATTTACCTTGTATGTTGTATCAAACACAACAATGTCGCGCCATATTCTTTGTACCAATCAAAACAATAAGCATGAGACCAAAATATATGCTCTTACCTTCTATCTTCATTAAGTGTATAAGCATACTGAAATTTAGAGCAACTCTTTTTTGCATCCTCACAATACTTAATAAGATCAACAACATCAGTTATTTCAATTTTTTTCTTGGCTTTCAAAAAAATATTGCAAACATCCTTTTAAATAAATGAAATATAACCATGCTCCACAAATTTTTTCTAGCTCTATGACACACATTAATTGTCTAATTGAAAGTCCATCTTCCTTTAACAAGAAAATTCGTTCCCAATAATCATCTGAGATATTCGGTTAGCCGGTAAAAACCACACTTCTGATTGAGTTAACAAAGTAAGATTATGTTCAACAACAAAGGTTGTAACTCACCACCCACTTGAAAACATATCATGAGTTTTTTGCAAAGAAATTCGCAAATGAGCTTTACATTCACACCTAGTTGATTCTTTATTTCTTTGTTCTTTTGATGGTTCTATGATTTTCAAGGAAGTTCTACCTTCACGATGGCAAAAGAAATCACGCCTACTCACAATTCAATTTTGTTTGATGAATCTATATTTTCAAACTGAGAACTCGTGTTGATATGCATATCTCTTATAAAAACAATTTCTTCTTCCTCACTAAGAAAAATTTGACCAACAAAAGGAACAATATTTGAGTTGTAAAAAACCATTTATCTCATTATTATGATTAGAAATCACAACATTTTCTTTTTCAAAAATTCCAATTTCTTCAACTTCTTCTATAATATTGCGACCAACAAAAGAACCAATTTGAAGAAACCTCTTCTATAGAGTATTTAATATTCAAACTCAAATCCAAATTTATTCTATTGTTGTTCACACTTTCTATTTTGTATTTATCTTCCAAAAATAACAAGAATAAAAAAGGCTATTCATCTGACTATGGAAAGTTATTTTTAAAAAAAGTGGAATCATAAAATAACATAAAATAGATAAAAAAGATATATGACATACCTGGGTAAGGAAAAGTCTTAAATTGTCATACTTAAGAAGATTTTAGAAGATTTCAGTTTTAACAAAGTGTTTTGAAGGAAACGTGAAATTTTTTTTGTGAAAAGAAAAAGAATACAAGATGCTTAAGCGTGAAATATTTGAGAAGATAAAAAGTCTAGGTGAATATTAGATGCGATAGTACTTTTGTCATATTGTTTTTTTAGTAAACATGTTTATAAAAAATTAATTATTGTATTTATTTATTACATGTTCAAAAAAAAAGAGACAATTAGTCATTAATTACACCTTAACTTGTGCTCTTGTGGCACGAGATAACATTGTCCAAACTAATAATATGAAAATAAATTTCATAGATATGTCACACATGATCATATGTTCACACCTTAATAAAATAAATATTTTAAAAATCAATTATAAATTTAATACAACAATATCAATAGTACATATAATAACATAACATAATTGTACACTTCATTTCAACTTTTGCTTTAAAATAATTTTAAAAAATTAAAGAATTACAATAAAATAAGTTAAACTAATTTACGCCAAATTTAAAATAATAGAACATAATAACTAAGATAAAGTTTAAATGATTAAGAATACCTAAATTAAATAATTTTGAATATAAAAGATAAACAATACAATATTCTTAATTAAACAACAAAAGACAAATTTGAGTTGAACTACGACAAATAAGTTATAATTGACAACAACAAATAATATTGAATTGAACACAACCAATATAGATCTGTACAATGTAACACCTTTTTTCTACCCCACAAATATAATGACAAATCAATCATATTTATTAGAGTAAAATATTGAACGCAATAAAATCATCTCAAAAAGGGACACATTTTTCAATAATTCAAATATAGTCAATGCTCCGTAAACAACGGGTTTTCCCAAAATTACTCAAAAGGCAGCGAAACTCAAAAAGGCAAAAATCCAAAGTTTTCCTTGTGTGATAACTTAATCAAAATAACAATAATAAATAAAACATGGTTCAACTCAAAATACCCCAACCCGATATTACACTATCAGAGCAAGACCCTATAAATCAATGGCCAACGACCCAAAAACTTCAAGAAGTACTCGACGGCATCCACGGGTAAACTTGTTCATCTGCACGTTACCCACGTGGAGGCAACATTCAAACAAGCAGGATGAGTAAAACGATTCATAATAATCAATATAGGAATTAATATATAAAACAACGTCATTTTCATATTCAACATTATCATAATCATCCAGGAACATCAAATGCCACAACAGTTACACTAAATTGTCACATAAATGCAAATGCAACAAGACTCATGCATGTGGTACCAATCAACAAAATTCGATGGACAATGGAACATTAACCCTCCATAGATCCACAACAGTAGGATCGATTCTACGCGAGAACCGGAGCACAACAAAATACCTCACATCCACACAATGGGACTGAAGCCACAAGAATCAAGGTCCCAGACCGAAGTCCAGAATGCATATGAATGCATGATGCACACGTATAATCCTCATAATAAACTCATTAGGTGTATCATCATTCATCAAAATCATCATAATAATCATATCTTCATAGAATTATCAAAACTCATGAAATCAACATCATAACTCATCATCATTACTCATAGGAATCATCATACAATCATGTATTAATCTCAGAAGAATCATAGTCATACTCATGGTAATTCATCAAAGAAATCACAACATCAAAACATCAAGACATCACTGCACAAGATCAGAATTCGCAAACTCTGCTACGTTCGCTAGCAAGTTCGTTGTGCGAGTCTGGGGCGAATGTTCGCTATGTGAAGGATTCTTCGCTGCGCGAACTCGCGATTACAACAAATCGTTGTTACGCACCAACACTAAAACCAACCCAAAAACCTCTACGATTTTCTTCCCCGATGCCCTAAAAACATCCCTAAATCATTTCTAATGTATTAGGGCGATAAAGACACAAAATCTACGACCTATTAGGCCAACCCCGTACTCCCAAATCAATTATCACACATTCACTAGAGTTCTCATAATCAATTACCCTATACGGTTAAAACCTCAACAACAAATTTTGGCCACGAAGGCCTAATTTCCCTTACTCCCAAATTAGCCTCAAACCTATCAGACCATCCGTTCAAATCTCTCAAACTCATTAAACTCACCAGAAAGGTAACAACAATTCAATACTCAAAATCCCTAAATCTTTGAATCGGCTTTAAACACATTGAATCACTACTTGATTCTTGGAAACCTCGCGAAGCCCTGCCTCAATCTTCTTCCACAGAGTTGTGACCTCTATTTCTTCTCTTTTCACGGTGTAACAAGAATGATTCATAATTTCATCAAAATTTATGTTTGTTAAACTTAAATTTGGGCCTTAAAATTGGGCTTTCCAACTTCACCCTCACTAACTCCTCCTCAAATGTCCACTTTACCCTTAATTCACTTATATTTATTTAAATTAATAATAATACCAATATATTCATATTATATACTATTATTTAAAGAAATAACTCAAAATTTATAATTTCCAATATTCACACCAACCACCGAAAATCACCAAAAATGCGAATATTCATATTTAAATAAATTAAATAAATATTTTAAGAATTTTGGAGTGTTACATACAACGTGACTATATTTGAAAGAGCCCGTGGTTAAAAAAACTATAACGGATTGACAAAACTTAAAAAATTATATGGCTATAAAAAAAACACAGAATTCTTTTTTGTGATTGGAAAATGTATGTTAAATTTTGATATTGACGTATTAAACTTTAAAAAAAAAATAGTCAACTTGATACATTTTTTTGAACCGGACGGTTTTACTAAAACCGGCTTCGATTCTTTGATTCGAATGGTTTTTGACGGTTCAATCCAATTTTTCAATTTTACTCTAATTTTTATCCACTAACAATTTTGAAAAATTGACCCAACCAAATTCATCTCCGATTCTCAGTCCAATTAATTAAACCGACCGGTGTCTAGTTCTAAAAATATTGTTTGAAACACATCCTCATACACTGCTACTGCACTTTGATTTACACCTAAAAGGAAAACTTTCAAATGGTCCAGGCTGAATTCTTTCAGAAGCTGAAAGAAAGAAAAAAACAGCATCAGACTAAACCTTCTGCATCAAGCATGAGATTTCTAAAATTTAAATCCAAGCTTTAAAAAGCATATGATTCTAAATTTTAATTTTAAGAATTGTTGCCTTAATTAGTTAAAAACCAAGCTTTAAAATTCAAACAACCTCCACTTATGTATATAGTAATATAAGATATAATATGTGTGGTTATTTTATAAGTATACTATACAAGATACACATATGATTCTAAAGCAAACTATCACTTACCTTATCAACCCAAAAAAGCATACTAAAGTGAAACAGAATTCCAAAAGCTGTCTAAGTGTCCACTAAAACAGAAGAAAAATAAAACACTAATGATTCAAAAAGTGAAGGAAAACCCTTACACAATTCAACTAGATTCTTGAACAAAGTAACCATTCATGTGAATAAAGCTACTCCAACTATTAAAAAACCATTCCCACACCAATAAATCTTCACATTCATCAACTAACCAAACAAAACATCATCACATAAAAACACAATGACCAAACTGCTCCCTACCCTCCAATTCAATCACATAATCATTCTATCATCAGCACTAGCATATCTAATCATCCCTTCACATTGTTCCAACAACACATGTCGATCATATTGCGGAAACATAACTATAGATTACCCATTTGCCTTGCAATACGGATGCGGCCACCCAGGCTTCCGTGACTTACTCTTCTGCATAAACAATGTTCTCATGTTCCACATAGCATCAGGCTCCTACAGAGTACTACAAATCGATTACGCATATCAAGCTCTCACACTTCACGAGCCACATATGTCAACATGTGAAACACTCTTCTTAGGAACCAAAGGTAATGGTTTCTCAGTCGAACCATGGCGGGCGCCATACATGAACCCAACATCCGACAACGTTTTCATGCTCATTTCATGTTCTCCTAGTTCACCATTGTTTCAAGGCTTTCCTGGTAAACACTTGCCTTGTAGAAATGTTTCTGGTATGGGCTGTGAAGAGTATTATAGTTGTCCTGCTTGGGATATGATGGGCCATAAAAAGATAGGCTCATCGTCATTTTTCGGGTCTGGCCCGCCGGAGTGCTGCGCGGTTCCGTATGAGGCTATTAAGGGGATTAATCTAAGTAAGCTGGAGTGTGAAGGTTATAGTAGTGCTTATAGTGTTGCGCCGTTGAAGGTTGATGGGCCTGGTGATTGGGCTTATGGGATTCGTGTGAGGTATTCTGTTCAAGGGAGTGACGAGTTTTGCGGTGCATGTCAGGCTACTGGGGGTAGTTGTGGGTATGGTTCTGATGGGATTAGACAAGTTTGTATGTGTGGGAACTTCAATTCAACTTCAAATTGTGATTCAGGTTAGTAACTATTACACATAAAAACATTTGTTTTCCTAGTCTATTATCTTGCTATTCACGTCACATGAGTCAAATATCTGGTGTGATGAATGGAAGATTTGTTGGCTTTCTATGTTGAACTATAAGTGGCGGTTTCTCTACATGTTTTACAGTGGGCTTATTATCGTCGGGAGCAAGGTCTATGAAGCTGAAAATGTTTGCAGGTGTGTGCTTCACTATTTCATTGATCTGTAAATCGAGTTAGGCTTGTTGAATTTGGCTAGTTATTATATTTTCAAATTGACATTGAATCCATTGATGTTCCTAGCTAGTGTCCTGTGTGCCCTTTTTATATATTAAGTGAAATATGATAAGATGATAACTACATGTGATATTCTTAAAATGTAGTCACGTAGCTTTGACACATCTGAACAAATTCGTGTCTGATATTTGACACGTGTTTGATGTCTGACACGTGTCAAACATTGTTACAGCACCCACACATATGATTATATTTAATATATTCATTTTTTACGAATTACTGATGTCAACATGTTAGTGTTAGTGATGTGTTTGTGTTAGCGCTTCTTACTAATTTAGACGAACTTATAAATATTCAGCATTTTTCCATTTTAGCACATCAAATAAGAATATGAGAGTAATTATGTTGAACGAAACTTTCTCTTTTGGGCAGGTTTTTTGATCTATTTGCTAGCATGGATGACAGCCAGCTGGATTTGAAAAGTGTGGTATAGTATGAAGAACATGCACATAGGACATATATACAAATATAATGAGTGTGAAGAGAGTTTTGATTTGTATTCCCTATTTCCCTATGTAAGACTTGCTCATATTTTATTCAAAAGCGCATGTATATGACAATTATCAGTTGAGTTGAACTTTAGCCATATTCCTTGATTTACACACAAATGAACACGAGTTGAGAACATAGCGTCCAACCATTGATCCCTCCTAATAAATTTTATATGTTTATTGAATTTTAAATTTGCACCATTTGATTTCAATAGTAAAATATATATCGCACTGACTGTGAATGTGTCGTTTACTGACCGCAGGGAATCATGGGTCTTATTTCACATACTGAATTACCTTACTATATAGAATACAACGAGTGACATATTTGGTGCACCATAGTATCCAAATAAACGCGTTGAAATTGAAAGATACTCAAATTTATTTGACTATTTTAGACATGAAATTGGTTGTCTAACTATAACGAATTTACGGGGCATTATCTGTAACTGCTATATACCGGTAACCCAAATAAGGAATAAAATTAAATTTAAGCCGGTTCATTGGTTTCACCATTAATAATCATAATAATAATAATAATAATAATCTTTACGATAGTTTTTCTCTCTTATCTAACTGCAAATAACAAGAATCTAAAAAGATGTATAATGTCTGTTACAAATTCAACAAACAAAACTATTTACCCCAACACCGGTAACCGTCTCTCCCAATCTACCTCGATGGTGGATCAATCCCACCACGATGAGTTTTTGACAAAACAAAAAGGGATTAACAATCCCTTCATTAAAACCAAATAACAAATATCTTCATTTTTCATTTCTCCAATATAGAAAAAGAAAATCCATTCCTAATAAGAAGAAATGAAAAACTTCAACATTTTACGTGGAATCGTCATAATATCCTCATTGTTGTCATGTATAACTTGCTTCGACGACGATGCTACGGTACACGAAGCCGGTCTCACGTGTGGTTCTTATCAATACCCTGCTGATGGTGGTGGCAACAAGTTTAATCAAAACTTGATGGCTGCAATGGACGCGGTATCCTTTCAGGTGAAACAACATGGATGGGGAGCACAAACATTAATCGGAAATTTGAATCCAATGCACGTGTTAGGCGAATGTCGTCGCGATTTAAATCCAACGCAATGCCACACTTGTTTCACGCAAGCAAGACAGTTATTATCGAGGTGCACGCCTAAGGTTTCAGGTAGAATTTACCTCGACGGTTGTTTTCTTCGTTATGATAACTACACTTTCTTTGATGAGGGAGTGGACTTCACGCGTGATACGAGAACATGTTCGGTGGAAAGAGGTGAGACGGTTAGTCCAGTACATGTTGAGGCGGTGATTATGAATGTGAGTAAGGGTGCCGGGGAACATATGTTTGCGATGGGCGAGGCGGGTGGTGTTTTTGGATTGGCGCAGTGTTGGGAGACGGTGGATAAATGGAGTTGCCAGAGATGTTTAAGAGAAGCAGGGAAGAGACTGCAGGAATGTGTTCCTAGTTCTGAGGGTAGCAGCTTGTTTACGGGTTGTTTTATGAGATATTCGACACTTAAATTCTATAACGACGTCGTTGTGCGAAATGATACTTGGACTGGTATTCCTCCTTCTATTCCTTCTTCTCAAGGTAATAACCATCACTTCAATTCAGTCATTATAGTTATCTCTACAAGAAATTTATGTATCCGATGAGTACCTGTACTCATCGGATGCATAAATTAGAAGACTTGTTTATGCAGGTATAGTTTTTGATCATGTTTACTTTCTCTTACCATGTTCTTAATTTACAGGTCAAAGAAAAAGTGGAGTATGGATAATCGCTGCATGTGTAATATCAGTACTTGTGATCATCTTACTTATCATCCCAGTTATACTTATGAGCGGCAAGAGTACAACACCACGTGAAAAAAGTAACTGACAATTGATCTAAATTGAAGCTATGATAATTTTTATATAGTTTCTTTAAATGCTATAATCAATCTAATTTTCCTCTCGTTTGATCTTCAGGAAACAGCAGTTTTGGCGCGTCGCCTAGTTTTGCCAACGTAACTGGTTTCAATTTTAGGTACGATGTACTTGAAAGGGCGACAAGTTATTTTGATTCTGCAAACAAATTAGGCCTAAGTGAAGGCGATGGTTCTGTGTTCAAAGGAACACTCCCCTCAGGAAGAATGGTTGCTGTCAAACGGTTGTTTTTCGATACAAGACAGTGGACAGACGTGTTGTTCAATGATGTTAATTTGATAAACGGAATTAAACATAAGAATGTGGTGAAACTTTTGGGTTGCAGCATTGATGGCCTTGAAAGCCTCTTGGTTTACGAATTTCTTCCTGGTAAAAGTCTTGATCAAATCATTTTCGGTAAGTACTAGTCCGTCCAACTTTTTTTTTACAGACAAATAAATGTTATTATATGATTTATTCGTAATCTTCATTGCAGATGATAAATATGTTTTATTGATATACAGATAAGGACTCAGGAAATGCTCTACCGTGGGAGAAACGGTTTCAAATCATATGCGGGATAGCCGAGGGCTTAGCATACCTTCATGAAGGTTCTGGAACAAAGATCATTCACAGAGAGATAAAGTCTAGCAACATTGTACTCGACGAGGCTCTAAATCCAAAAATTGTTGATTTTGGTTTTTCTCTTGGTAGTAGTGCTGAAAATAAATCTCATTTTAACACTAGAATTGCATATGTGGCTCCAGAGTGTCTCAAGAAAGGAGAATTAACAGAGAAGGCAGATGTATATGCTTTTGGTGTGATGGTTACTGAAATTGTTTGTGGTAAAAAGAACAGTGTTTTCCCACAAGGCTCAAATTCAGTAATTAACTGTGTAAGATTTGCATTCCCTTGTAACTTAACATCCTTACTTGATATTAGTAACTTACAATATAAAACTGTTTCGTCCTGTTAAGTCAGCTCAGTTGATAGCTGTGCAGAGACATCAGACTTAAGGGATGCGGATTTGAACCCGCGACATCTCACTTATTCACCTTTAAAATGATGAAATCTCAGTCACTAGACTACTTGACAAAAAAATGAACTTAATTGTTTGAAATTTATTGAAACATCTTGATCAGGTATGGAAGAATTACAAGGCAAGCAACATTACGACATCAGTTGATCCTGCTCTACTTGGAAATTTTGTGGCAGAAGAGGTATCAAATGCTCTCCAAGTTTCACTTCTTTGTACACAATCTTCTCCTCCTCTTAGACCATCAATGTCAGAAGTAGTTCAAATGCTAACAAAAAAAGACTACAATATTCCCATCCCAATACAACAACCATTCATCAATTATACTAGGCTTACTCTAGATAACCGAACCGCTTCTACCGTGAGCAATATGTCACATGGACGCGCAAGTTCAAGATCATCTTTCCATAGCACCACTAGTTCGTTACACCAAGGTGAAGAAGCAATACTTTTAGAGAATCCGTTTTCTTCTTCGTCTAAGTTCAACACTTCAAGGAGTCCTGATTCAGATATCCAAGTAAACATTGTGGTAGCTCAACCAAGGTAGATGGACTTCAAGTCTCGTGGATCATGATGATCAAGAGTGGCATGTTTTGTTAGTTGAGGACTTGTAGTAAAAGATGTACGATCTATCACTCTGTAACCATCTTTAACAAACTGTTGAAATTCAAAATCTACTTGATTTGTGCAACAATTTGTAAATAAATGTAGTCATTGGATATTGATGTAGATAATTCAATGTTTGAGAGGATAAGAGTCTCAAGAGTTGAGTGTAAAACATGTGAAAAAAACATTAAAAAAAATGTTTATAAATGTGCTTGAAATACATTGCTCTCAGCTTAAATTGCTTTTAGCATAAAGCTTAATTTACAATAATGGTAGTTATAATTACAACTTACAAGCATAATAAATAATATAATAAATAATTATGTGCAATTTACTAAAAAGAAGTAAAAGTAATATAATTTATGAAATTAAGAATGGATTATTTCCTTGGAAAATGTATAATTAAGTTATTTTAATTTCTAATATTCTAGATCAAATTGGTGAATAGATATTCTTCATTTTTACTTTGGACACAAATAGCTTAATCCATTGGTGAAGACATCTGGAAATAGACCTTGAGAGGAAACATAAGGAATGCAAATCGAATCACAATCAAACTTCTCATTAATAAACTATCTATCCACCTCAATGTCTTTTGTTCTGTCATTGAACCGGATTGTGAACTATAATAATTGTTGACTTTTTATCACAAAAGAGTTTCATAGGTCCATTCAATTTAATCTTCAAATCTTTTAAAAAAATCTTCAACCAAATTAATTTACAAATAGCTTGTGTCATAGCTTGAAACTCAGCTTCAGTATTGGGTCGGGCTTTTTACTCCACCAAGTTACAAAACTTCCTTTGAGAAATGTACAATATCATGTAGTTGACTTTCGATCAGTAGTCGAACTCGCATAATCGACATATGTATATGCCTCAAAAGTAACACTTCCATTTCTTTTAAACAAAATCCCTTTTTGTGGAGTTCTTTTAAGATATTGTAAAATTCTATGAGCTGCAAGTAAATGAACTTCCTTTGAATTGTGCATAAATTGACTAATCACACTTACAACAAATACAATATCTAAACTAGTGTGGGAAAGATAAATTAATCTCTCAACCAATTTTTAACCAACTAACAAACTCCTAACTAACTCTAACAGCCAGTGCCACATGGCACTTAGCCAATTACTAAACCGCCTATACACTTAAAAATCCCCTCCAATGTTAGTTTAAAATCCTAACTAATTGCTAACCTATAAACTAACACACATTGCCATCAATTTTTACACTGAACTTAGGCCTAAACTAACACAAATGCACTCAAATTTCTTCACTCAAACTAACACACAAACCTAACTAACTCATCAATGATCTTAAACCATTGATAAACCCTAGCCTAGAATCAATATCCAAGGCATAAAGTTATATCATTT